AACAGCAGCACGTTTAAGCTTGATCAGCTGTTGTTAGAATTTATTTAATATTCATTTCTAGTATCAGCTGATGTTTGCTGGAGCCACAGCTGTAAAGCTGCTGGTCATGATGTGGGTTTGGAAACATGAAGGTGATACAAATCATACATATATACCAACAACAGTGTACGTCACTGTCACAGCAGCTTTTGTTTTTGTTTGTGGGCCGGTCAATACCTGGGGCCACGCCTTGACCACCCGGTCAGCTGGTGGGTAACAGACGTCTCTGAAAACGTTAGAGCACTTTTGCAAATATGTGACGTGTTGATGAATCGAGCAGGTATTTGAAGTTTACACAGAAACATCCTCACCTGAAAATATCTTAAACGTTTATTTTGTGACCCACAAAAAGTAATATTTCAAACTCCGCCCCTCTGTGTTCCTCCGCCACTGCCTCCTTTGAGTTTTGGATGAAATGCATTCTGGGATATTTGCCTGGGTTTAGCTACAGCAGCTAACAAGCTGATTGGAGACCAAAGCAGCCAATCAGAACTTTTTGCATCCAAGTCTGTGATTGGCTGGTTTTGTGGCACAAATATAACGGTGTAGAGAAAGAGTTGAGCGCGCACGGGCAGAAATGTTGAGAGCGCGAGCAACACGTGCAAAAACTGAGTGAGAGGGGCTGGTGTGTGTGTGTGTGTGTGTGTGTGTGTGGATAACAGCAAACACTGAAACACAGTTTTTGTAGCAATGAGTTTTGTTCACTCAGATTTAGCTTTTCTTCGCTCAAAACAAATTTCTCCTCAAAATGCAAAACCTGTAATTTTTCTTACGTGCGCTCAGATCAGTGGCACAAAAACAACGCCACATCATCGCGTTAGAACCACATGTGTGAGTTTACGGCACGAGACTAATAATTACTCCCCGATTTATTCTCAGTTTCATTTTGCTCTGGTTGAAGCGTCAGTTCCTTACATCAGCCCACGAGGAGGTGAGACGTCAGGAGGTTTGAGCTCAGCTGAGGATTCACAGGTTCTGTTCACACGTCAGGAATAACAAGGTTTAATACACAGAAGGTAACAGGGCGCCACCTGCTGGTGCGTTCTGATTGGCTGATCGGGCTGCAGCGGTACCTGTGCTGTTCCTGGAGCTGCTGCTCCTCCTGCTGCTGCGACGGTTTCTCTCTGCCTGCCTCTGAGTCCTGTTGTTGTTGCTGCAGCAGTTGCATGCGCTGCTGCAGGCTGCGGGCTCTCCTCATGCAGCGCTGCAGCCGGCTGTGACTACTAGCTCCACCCTCAGCCACCACCGGCCGCAGTTTGGCTGCAGCCGGGTCACGATTCAACAGAAAATCCACAACAGAAGGAAAATGAAAAGAAAACAGAGAGAAAAGAATAAAAAATGAACCAAAGATGCAGAAAATAACTCGTTATGATGATTTCATGCAAAATAATCTGACAAAGAAAACTCACAGCTGACAGGAAATCAAACATCGCACTGCTGACATGAAGGTGGCGTGTTATTAACGATGAAATGGAGAAATCAAGTCCACACAGAACGTAAGAGAATCACAACCAAAGAAAAACAACCCGGCTGTCAGCTTCGAGGACGCCTCCGACACGTTTGATCATCTTTTGCTTCTTAATTCAGATCAAACTGAGGTCATTGTACTCGC